TTTGTTTGGCTTTTTATATACTTTTGCAGTTTTTATTTTTTATTGCTCATAAATGACCCATTCATTTCTTTTAGCACCTTTGACCTTTGTGGCAGTGTGTGTTGGATTATAGAAATACTTTGGAGAGTGTTGGTTTTGGTATTACTGAAAAATGAATATTTCTGATCATATTGCCTTTCTGTGACCTCTGTACCAAAGAATATTTAAATTACATTCACTTTCCTTCTATACTGTTTTGTTGTTGTTGTTTGTTTTATTTTCTATTTTCTTCCAGACATGATGGTGCTGTGAACTGGAGATCCTCCTGCCTCAGCTTCTTGAGGCCTGCAGGGATTTAGTAACATGTAGCACCACACCCAGACTGTTCTACACTCATTTGAAACAGTACTTCTGTGGCTGTTTAAACAATATCAAGAGCTGTTTCTACTTTCAGTTAAGATTTCACTTGGCTTTATTTCCCCATGTTCTTTCCTTTCAAACTTTTTCTAGTTAACCAGTTGTTAGGTTACCAGTCTTCCCCTGCAGGACAGACCTACTGAAATTTACAACAATTTTATAAGCAACTCATAAGCTAACATTTGAAGTTGAATGTCCAGTTCAGAGGAGGTGCAGGTCTAGTGAGCGGATTCCAGAGCTGTTACAGACTTAGAATGGATGCAGTAGCTGTAATGAGTTTTTGTTTACTGGTATCCTCTGGGTGTCTTTCTCTCCATGCCCCTACCTCAAGAAAAAGTTCTTGATTTTAGAATTTTGCCCATAGCTTTGTCTGTTTGAAGTTTTAGGCTCAGGCATGTAAAAGTGAAAGATTTTACAGTTTTAACTCTCTCTTTTTTGGTTAAAGTAGTTCAAAATGTCAAAAATTAGGAGGAAGGTCACAGTGGAAAACACCAAGACTATATCTGAGAGTACATCCAGAAGACCTAGTGTGTTTGAGCGTCTTGGACCCAGCACTGGCAGCACAGCAGAGGTGAGTTGTTACTACTTTGGTCATGGGGAGCTTATTGGAAGGACCTAGGAGTGTGGGACAGTGGCAGAGCCCTTACCTAGCATGTATAGAGGCCCTAGCCTTGATCCTGTGTACTGGGAGAAACAGTTAAACTACTAGTATTGATGTCCTTCTTGCTACTATTCAGGAAAATGTGTTGTTTTTATCCTGAGGTTGGCTTAGCAAATTTTATTTTATAAAGGGGGGAATTAAGGTTTGCAAATTCCTTGTTATATAATATTTTTATTTGTTCTATGTATACAGTGTATTTTGATGCTATTCATGCCCTATTCCAGCAAACCCTCTCCCTACCCCCATGCATATCTTCCTATGGTTTCTCATTTCCTTATGGTGTTATTACTCGAGTAACATAAACTTTAATTTGGGTTGCTCTGATTTGATTTTGCCCTGGTAGCATTTTTTTCTTCAGACATTCATAGTCATATCTGCCTCCTAGACACAGTGCCGTAACTGGCTGAAGACTGGCAGCTGCCTCTATGGAAACACATGTAGGTTTGTACATGGCCCTTCACCTCGTGGGAAAGGTTACAGCAGCAATTACAGAAGGTAAACTGAGAGCTCAAACATATTCTATAGTATTAAAAATCAACTTTTACAATTTAGTGTAAAAATATGACCTAGAGCCATATATTAGGTCAGATTTTCTGTTTTGGGATTGTCTTCTTAACAGTCATAAGATTAGCAAAGTCTTTTGCTTGTTACTTTTAAGATTAATAAAACCTTAGCTTTAAAGTGTAATAGATCATTTTCTCAATATGTGTATTCAAATCAGTGAACACCTGTGAAGAGACAGTGTGGGGAGAACAGCCCCTAAAAAGCTTCCTGCCGCGCGTAGCCCTAGTTAGGTATTAAATTGCTGCTTATCAGAGATGTGGGAATTTAGTTTTAGTAAAGTTGGACTATTCACTATTAACATTGTAACATTTAAATAAGGTTTAATTGTAGTTTTCTAAAGGCATTTTAAATTTGTATGGTATACAAGTTTTACTATAAAATATACTTGCCCAATCCTTAGGGTACTGTGTTAATATAAATGTGTTTAGGGGCTAGAGGGATAGGTCAGTGGTTAAAGACTGCTCTTCTAGAAGACCTGGGTTTAGTTCCTAGCACACACGTGTCGCCTACCAGCCATCTGTAACTGCAGTCCCAGGGGATCCAGTGTCCTTTTCTGTTCTCAGGCACCAGGCATGCTCATGAGGCACAGACATACATGCAGACAAAATACCCATAGACATACAGGAAGCAAACAAACAAATAATTTTTAAAATGTAAGTGTGTTTATGCGTGGATAAACATTTCCTTTGCAGAATGTCATTTTGCCTTTGATAGAAACTTGGCTAAACCGAATTTGCACAACAAAAATCTTTTTAGTCCCCTTTTGATTGTAATAATTTTTAAAGGTAACGTATATAGTATTTTTTACTGAAATAATTTAATCGACAAACAAAGAATTTACCTAGTTTTGAAATTGTGTGTGTGTTGATTGCTTTGTCTACTTCATTAGTAGGGAAACTGAAAATTAGCCATTGGAGATGTTTTTAAAGCGTGTGGGTGTGGTCAGAGGACAGCTTTTGGGATTCTGGTTTTTCCTTCAGGCCCGCATGACAATCACTTTTACCCACTGAGCCATCTTGATGGCTGTTGGCTTTCATTTTTAAGGTGCATGAAATATTTTCCCATACTTATGTGTGGATGGGAGTGCTATTACCTCTGGAATAATTTTGTTACTTTATAACTACAATATGGCTGCTATATTTACATGGTAAACAGGAAGTAACTCAGGCTGCTATTTACATATTCATTTTCTTCAGTTCATACATTCTTACTCGTATTACCAGTGCTTAACATACTGTGTAAGTTAACATGCATTTTGAATGGCATTGTGAGAAAAATTGTAAATATCTTCATATTTTTAAATATTACTATTTAAGCTGAAACGTTATTTTTCAGAAATGTAGGCACCAAAGACAGAAAAATTATATCAGTCTTTATGAAGTTATTTGTATTATTCTTATAAAACATCATTTTACAGATCTTTGTTGTTTTGTATCACAGGTCACCAGAAAGACCTACAGGTGATCTCAGAGAAAGAATGAAGAATAAGCGTCAGGATGTGGATTCTGAATCCCAGAAACGGAATGCAGAGGAGTCATCCTCACCTGTTAGGGTAGGCATAAAATTTATAGAACCCACTTAAATATCAGTAGTCATTTATTTTCATAAATTCTACTCTAAATATTAAGTTGTATGATAAATTTATGTTAAGTCTATAATTAGACATTACAGTATTCTGTGTGAATAAATAATTGGAAGGACAGGGATTCCCTGAGAAAACCGTCTGTTCTTCCGTGTACTTAATTGAACCTAAAAGGTTTTGAACTTTCCGGGAACTCATGAGTATCTAAAAGCAGTATATAGTTGTGTAGCCAGCCATGCAGTCTGTTTTCATGAAACTCTGCAGCTTCTGTCAATCACTCCTGTCACCCCACTCATGAGCTGTGGGCAGGCCTGAAATCACTTTTTGTTTTATAACTTGTCCACCCTTTGTGCTTCTTTAAATGGACCATATAAGCTGTCATTTCTTGTGACTAGTTTCCTTCAGTTAACTTTTAACATTTATGGAAGATTATAAGATGCATTATTCTTTTGTCTTTATTTTTCTCAAAGAATATTCCATTATTAGTGTTCCATATTCTGTTTATTCGCTTGTTATTGATGGATATTTGGGCTCTTTCCACTATTTCAAATCCCCTTATGAGTGAGAACATTCATGTACAAGTTTTTAGTTAGCATATGAGATCATTTTTCTTGGTTGTATTCTGGGGAACAGAATTGCTGAATACATGTTCTAATAGTTTCTTTTCTGTTGCTGTGACAAAATTCCTGACAGAAACAACTTAGGGGATGGTTTATTTTGGCTCAAGAGTTTGGAGATGCAATAGCATCGTGGCAAGAGTGTGTGGAGCCAGATGTGCGGGCAGCTGGTCATTTGCAGAGCAGGCAGGCAGAGAACAGTGAGGGCTGTGCTCAGCTCCCTTTCTTCATGTTATTCAGTTCAGGACCCCAGTCCATAGGATGGAGTGCCTCACTTTAGCTAACCAGATTAGAAACTCCTTCACAAAAGCCCAGAGTTGTGTCTCTAGGAGATTCTAGATCCTGTCACATTGAGGGTCAGTATTAACTGTCCAGTATGTATGCATCTTTCACTTTTGAGGATCCGCTAGAGCAGTGATTCTCAACCTTCCTAATGCTCTAACCCTTTAATACAGTTCCTCATGCTGTGGTGATTCCCCAACCATAAAATTACCTCATTGCTACTTCATAACAGTAATTTGCTATTGTTATGAAGTGTAACGAAAATATATGATATGCAGGTTACCTTATATGTGACCCCCAAAAGAGGTTGTGACCCACAGGTTGAAAACCACAGCTTTAGAGTGTTGGAGCATCTTTTGGGGGGTATCTGAATCCTCCTTCATGCAAGAAAGTAATAATAACTGTAATTTTGCTACTGTTACAAAATCATGTAAATCCTAATATGCAGGATATCTGATATGCAACCCCTGTGAAAGGGTCGTTTGACTTTTAGGCGATCGTCAACAGGTTGAGAACCACTGTGCTAGACTGTCAGTTAGAGGTTGTATTGTTTTTACCTTTTGTCAAAAGGATATGAAGGTTACAATTTCTCCATTTTTTTTTTCCAGCTCCTAATTTAATTGTGATTTTACTTTGTGATAGCTAAGGAGGATGACAAGCATTATGCACACACTCACTGGTTATTGATGCATATTTGGAGATGCTCTGCCCACTTCTTAAGTCGGGCTGTCTTTATTATTGAGTTGTAAGAGTTCTTTATATTTTGAGTACAGGTAAAATACATTCTTTGAAGGTTTCAAGTTTTCCATTTTTTCTAGTTATTAATGTGAAATAATTGTATATTTATATACCATCACATTTGTAGTATAAGATTTTTTTTTTTTACTTTACCATTATTAATTGGTAGTTGGCTATTGTTCATTGGTTAATTGTTAATACAAATACAGGTAATTTTCTTCTAAGTTAAAAAAATACCAAAAAATAAGGTTGCCATTCTAAAATTTTGTTTTTATTCCTTTAACTATTTTTACTCTAAAATAACTTAAAATTTAAGAAACACTATCAGAATTAGCTCACAATTCCTGTTTGCTTTCATCTTTAAGGTACCTAAAACAAATTTTATACTATTCTGTGCACTGTTATTATGTTTTAAGTTTTTTTTCTCCCAGATTGGGAGCAGTGTCATCTGCTCCTGTGCTTAGGCCAGACTCCTGGGCCCAGGCAGTGGGCTTGCCTCAGTTTCTCCAGTAAGCTGGTACTACATAGGATCTCAGCATCAGATGTAGCTGTAATTACAGTATGTGTGGGTTTCTTTCCCTATCACTTTCCACTATATTTTAAAAACAGACAAATGAAAATACCTTAAAAATTGTTTGAGAATTTCACACATGTAAATAACGTGTATATAACATCCGCACTAACAGCTCCTCTTCTGTATCTACCCGACCTTCCACATAACCTTTTCTTCCTAACTTCATGTGTCCTTCCCCTCTTTCTCTAACCCCACTGTGCCCACTGAGTGCTGCCTGGCATTTCTACACCCTGCCTTTGAGACAGGCTCTCTCACTGGCCATTGAGCTTCTGGCTCCACCTTTCTCAGGTCTCTCCAGTGCTGGGATACAGATGTGTTCGACCATGTCCAGTATTGCACGGGTGCTGCAGATCAGCCGAAGGCCACAAGAGATAGAGACACTCCCTGAAACAACAACAGCTGCTGCTCTTCCCAGCACCTGTTTTCACATTCTTGTTCCTGTTCTTTCAAACTCGAAAGTTTTGGCTTTATATATATATATATATATATATATATATATATATATATATATATATATATATATATATTTATCCCCTCCCCCCTCTTTGAGACAGGGTTTCTCTGTGTGATAGCCCAGGTTACCCTCCACTTAGTTTGTAGACTGGCCTTAGTTTTAGGCTGGCCTTGAGTCTGCTGGGATTAAAGGTGTGCATCACTGCACCCAGCCTTTTTTTTTTTTTTTTCTTTTTGCTTGCTCTTTAGGTGTCATTTGAAAAACTTTTATGATACAGGGTCATAAAGATTTATGACTTTTATATATTTTATATAAAATGTAAATAATATCAAGACTAAAATGTCCTAAAATATTAATAGGCTCTGAGTACTTCCCCCACCAGTGGGTATGTGTGAGTGTGTGTGCAAATCTGATTCCTTGAAACTTAAGTTGGCTCTGAAGTATAGCATTGACTAGATGAACTGGAATTAGTATAAGGCACAGGCAGAAGGATTTATAATGTGAACACAGTACCTCTAGGTATTGTTAGCTAAGCTCCGCTTTCAGTTGTCTCATTTATAAATTAGGAACTGGCTTTGTTGGTATGTTATGATGAAGGGGTAGGATTGGCCATTCTATGCTGATGATTTAATAAATGGCATAAAGTGGTATTAAAATGACTCTTCTGTTCTCTAATTTAAATGGACGCTAGCCTCTTAACAGGAATTGGATGTGACCATTGATTTAGGTTGTTAACACATATTTAAATATATTTTTATAAAAAGTTCTATGTTCAGATCACATTAGTAAATAGTAAATTTAGCTATTAAGAAATTTAAAGTCTGGAGCTTAAGAGATAGCTCAGCAGTTAAGAGCACTGGCTGCTCTTCCAGAGGACTTGAGTACAATTTCCAGCACCCACATGTGGCTACAACTGTCTGTTACTCCAGTCCCAAGGGATTTGATGACCTCTTCTGGCCGGTGAGAACACCAGATATGCAAGATATACAGACATATATCTAGACAAAACACTTACTCACATAAAATGAAGAAACCTTGAAAGAAAACCAGGTAAATCCTGATTGTTGCTTTCCCTAGATGAGGCCATCCTCAAAGGCAGTGAAGGGGTGAGTTAAGTGTTTCAGGAGTGGTCAGGTATCGGTGAATTCATTAAGTAAGCAGAAAGTTTGAATTTGGTTGCTTTTCAGGTTGTGAGTTTTTGAGTGTTTTGCATGACAATGAACAGTCTCCCTCTGTGGTGTGTTCAGCTGGTGACTTCTTGTTGGAGATCTTAGGGTACAGATAACAAAGGCAGAACTGAGATAGGCATGCAGTTTTTTCATAGTTAATGGATTCACTCCTTTGCCACTGACATTTACTCCAGTGTGTCTAAATTGATTATACTTGGTTTTGTGGAGAGACAGCTTCATAAATAAACAAATGGTAATTCCATGTAATAGGGTGTTGGAGATGTAAGCAGAGTGCATACTGGATAAAGTAAACAACTCCCTGCAGAACATGACACAAGGAAGGGTAGGTTTGTGGGTTGAAAAGAGAGGGGAAAATAATGTAGTTACGTATGAAGAGTTTTACAGGACTGCTGTCCTTGAGGAACTAGTATACCTATATCCTGCTATAGCATCTGAACACAAGGTGAGGGCTGAGTAGCTACTGTTCCGTTCACTTAAACAAAAGGTGTTCTGAAATGCAGCCTCAGTTGGGAAAGCTTGGTGGCCTTGTCTCTGTTGGCTCAGTCTCACTTGGAATGTGCTTGTAAGTATAAAATGTGTACTGAGCTTCAGACTGTCTGCATGAAAGTAAATAAATGTCAGTTTCTTGTAGGCTTTGATCTTTCATCAAACTTAACTTTATTTAGGGTTCCCAAGTGCTTCTACCTCCCTTCCATCCACTGACCAGAGGTAGGGGAGAAAGAAGATTATTAGGGAAAGGGGGTTGTAGATCTTTTTCGAAGTAGTTCTTTGGGATGAGTCCACTCTTCATTGTCTGGATTCCAGCAGTACAGTCTAAGGCCATCACCAAGCAGCAACACGAATCAGCATGACTCAGAAGATCGGGACAACTCAGCGAGACTCTTGGCGAAGTCAAGCAGGAAGATCAGCACAGTGATGTCCATCCAAAAAGCGATGTCTCACTGTCCGTGGGCTTCCATGTATCTCCTCTCAGAGTTCACCCATGCATGTTCTCTGCTGGTCAAAGTCACACCTCCTGCAACGAGAGAGCTCATAGCAAAATATCACATGCCCTCTCACAAGCCAGCCTCCGGCAAAAACATCACATGACTTAACCGAGTCTTCAGAGAAACCAGAAACTTCCACTTCAGTTTCTACTGGATTGCATATTGGAATGACAGATTTGAGTTAAATGGAATATATTAATATTTACTCTTATCTGCTTTATTTTTCTTTCTCATGTGACAGTAAAGAACTGTAAGGTTGCCGGTTTGTTGCATGTTTCTGTTAGAGAGGGCAGCCTTCTTGATTCAAATTGAATGTAATACAGTTGAGCTAGTTCAGTGAGGGACGTAGTCAAGCTTGAGTAATTAGGGAGTTAATACTTTAGTGAATCTACAGAACCTTTCAAATAAAGTAATTAACTTGTGTTTTATTCTCTAACAGAGGCTTGTTATTTTTCAGAATTCTGACACAGCAAATAAATTAGCATTGAGAGCAAAATTGATGCTTGAATGTAGTGAGTGAGAATAAGCATTTCTCAGTGAGAAAGGCATAAATGTGGCCTAGGAAATGTCCTAAATGTGTAGTCACATTTAAGAATAGGTTGTTTATGGTAATAGGAAAATGTCTCTTAGAGTTTAGAGACCTTCTCTGGATGGTCCCTTTGTTTACACAGAACCTTTCTTCAGGACAAATGGACAAGTGGTCTAGGTTTACTTCTATATATTGAGGTTTTTTTCTATAGTTTCTATTGTGGTAAAATAGATATAAGATTTGTCATTTGAACTTGTATATTTTGTTTTGTGGGGTTTCTTGGTTGCTTTTGAGACAGCTCTGATACTGTAAGTCAAAGAGGCCTCAAAACTCACAGTCCTGCTTCTAAACCTTAACTCCTCAAATGCCACCATGGCCAGCTTTGTTAAGTGAAGTCAATTTAGCTGCTTTAAGCTGTCGTTTTTATGAACATTTCTTGTTTATACAATGAACCTTTCAGAGATTTTTTTTCAGTTTGTCAGTTGCTTTAAATTTCTGCGTTAGACTTAATATTATTATGGGTCAGTTTAATTTGGCTATTATTTAAATTACTTTTTCAGGTTTTACCAAGTAGGTGAAGCTCAAGATGATGGCCAACATCTATCCTATTCCCCGTGCATTATTCTGACATCACACATATGCTATACCACATCCTTTCCTATTCTTAGTTGCCAAGCTTTGTCCTGTTATGAATCAAAACTTGTTTCTAGTGTGTGCATTGTGTCTGGGAGAGGTTTCTTCCAGAATGCATACTTCATTACGAGTTTTGTCCTACAGTTGCTTCCTGTCTTTCTTACTCCCATTCCAGCCATGTGCTTTGTTCCTTTTCTATCCGTGTCTTGATATTCCTGACTAGATGAGGAAAGACTGACTGTGGCTAAAAAAGGGATTGGGTCCATAGCTGCTGCAGTAAGCAGGACTCTTGCAGTGGAACGCTTTCGGTAGAAGGTAGCAATTATTGACCATCCCCTGAGCAAGCCTCATGACCTTGCTTTCAATCTGTAATAGTTAAGTAAAGTACCTGTTCCCTTGTGCCAAGTTATGGTAAAACCAAGTGGGGAAGTACTGGTAAAAAGTCTTTAGAAAAAGTAGGACTGTAAGTGCAAAGTAGAAAGTGGGGCGACACCAACAACAGTTCAGGGAGCTAATTGCTGTGGGGGTAAACTATCACATGAGGGGTACTGAAAAAGAAAAGATTTAAAAAGGAGGCTAGCTGCAAAAGTGTAAGCAGAGGCAGAAACATGTTACCTGGTAGAACTTTTAGACCAAACAGTACAGGAGTAATTATGATATTATTTTCATCATACATAGTTTTTTTTTTTTTTAATAAGAAAAACTACATGTGATGCATGAAGCTTAGTAAAGGGCTGAAAGAATATAGATTGGAATCATGTGAAGGCTTATCTATTCACATGTCTCAAAGCTGGTATTAGTCATTTGGAAGCCTCAGTTTTCCATATGGGTTTACTTATGTGAATAGTTTGGGCTTCCTCTCACCTGATGCTGGATACCAAGGGTTGATAAATTGTTACACACGTTACCCTTGCATAACAAAGAAGAACAAATGTGCATGTGGCTTGGTTCCTGTTACTATAAAATGGTATCAAAAACCAAAATCTGGGTGGTAGAATGTCTTAGCTAACAGAATATAAAAATATGTGTTATGTCAACTAGTATTATATTATATTATATTATATTATATTATATTATATTATATTATA